CCCCCCCCCACCATGTGCCTCCCACTGGGCCCCAGCTCAGCTCGCTGTCCTGGGCTCGCAGCGGTTGGAAATACCCACACTTCGTTTGGCAAGTGACCTGGGCAGGAGATGGTCAGCAGGTGAAGCCCTTTCCTAAAGTATCTCGGCCACACTGGCATACTGGGACTGGGATTTCACTGGAATCCATCTGTGCCACCTGGCGAGAAAAACCTTGGCTTAGAGTCCAGTGGGACCGGGACTCTGCTGGGGACCTGGGCCAGCCCCCACCCTCCCATCGCCACCTGCCCTGAGTGCCAGGCAGGCCACACGCTGCAGCCCATGGTCACCGCTTCCCTCATTCCCTCCCACAGAGGCTGGAGCTGGGCAGGGGCGAGAGAAGCCGTGGGATGCCGGCGGCCTTGAGGCTCACTCACCCCTACAACAAGCTCTGGAGCCTGGGCCAGGACGACATGGCCATCCCCAGCAAGCACCCAGACACCTCTCCTGAGAAGCCCTCTGTCCCGCTTGGGAACTCCCTGGCGCTGCCTCGCAGGCCCCCAAACCGGGACAGCATCCTGAACCCCAGCGGCAAGGAGGAGGCGCCCACCCCCACTCCGGGCAGCATCACCATCCCCCGACCCCAGGGCAGGAAGACTCCGGAGCTGGGCATCGTGCCCCCACCCCCAACCGCTCGCCCCACCAAGCTCCAGGCTGGCAGTGCCCTCGGTGATTTCTCAGAGCGGGAAAGGCAAGCCCTGAGCCCCGCTGCGTTCCCGGGGCTCCTCCCCGCCGCCCGAGGCCAGGGCCCGCCCGAACTGCTCGGGCCGCTTAACCTGGCCGCAGGGGCTGCAGGTACAGGCAACGATGCGCTGCTGGCCCTCCTGGACCCACTGAACACCAGCTGGTCGGGCAGCACCCTTCCACCAGGCCCTCCAGCCCCAAGTATAGCCACCTCGTTCACCCCCCAGTTCAGCTTTCCCCCTGCGGGAACCCCCAGCCCATTTCCACAGCCATCACTCAACCCCTTTGTCCAGTCTGTGCCGGCGGCACTGCCTGCCACGTCCCTGGTCTCCACACCAGCCAGGCCTTTCGGGGCCTCTCCTGCCTCCCTGGGGCCAGCATTCGCACCCAGCCTCCTGCTGTCCAGTTCCGGCTTCTGCGTCCCACATAGATCTCAGCCCAACCTGTCTGCCCTGTCCATGCCCAACCTCTTCGGCCAGATGCCTATGGGTGCCCACACCAGCCCCCTGCAGCCCCTGGGCCCCCCAACAGTCGCCCCTTCGAGGATCCGAACGTTGCCCCTGGCCCGCTCAAGTGCCAGGGCCGCTGAGGCCAAGCAGGGGCGGGCCCTGAGGCCTGGAGACCCCCCACTCCTGGCCCCCCGGCTCCCCCAGGGCCTGGAGCCTGCAGTGCAGCCCTCTGCTCCTCGAGAGGCTGGAGACCCCTTTGAGGATCTGTTACGGAAAACCAAGCAAGACGTGAGCCCGGCCCCGGCCCCGGCCCCGGCCCCCGGCTCAGTGGAGCAGCTCAGGAAGCAGTGGGAGACCTTCGAGTGAGTGGGCGCCGAGGCGAGGGCCAGCCGAGGCCCGAGCACCACGCACCCCCCGGGGGCCGGGGGCCCCGGGCCGGCCAGCCCTCTGCTTCCCCTGCTGCTGTTTCTGCCAGGTTCTCCTGGTGGGAAGGGATGGGGCCCCTCCCCGCTGCCCCTCCTCCGGTCCACGCTGTCCATGGCGGGGGTCTGGCCGCTAGAGGACACCACTTCTGGGCCGGGGGCTGACCCAGTTACCGGGGCCTCGCCCGCCCCTCCGTAGGACCCCCTATTGGGTTTTGCACTGAACGCCTACTCGGTCTGGGCCAGTGACCCGCAGGCCACGTGCTACCCACTTCCCCTCTCGGCCTCCCGTGCCAGCCCGGCGCGGCCCTGCGAACCCACGCCGCCGCGGGGGCTTGGAGTTTGAGGTAAGGAACCAGCCGTGGGCAGGAGGGTCTACCTGGGGGCATTTCTGATGCTCTCTAGCAATACATACACTCGTTCTTTCAGGAGCCTTCACCCCAAGCCCCAAAGTCCAGTTTTTCCGTCCCGGGAGAGACTTGGGGGCTGAGGCTAGTCTTGGGGCCCCCGGTGATAGCCAAACCCAGCCCCAGCCAGTCCTGCGTGGGACTGGGAGCACCAGCAGGCTGGGTCTCCCTGTGGGTGCGGCCAGGGCTGGCTCGGTCGGGGTGGGCGGGAGCCGAGAAACTGGAAGCCAGCTCCCCGGAAGGCGAAGCTTGAGGCCTCTTGAGGCCTCGCTCCGACGCTTTCTGGGTCCGGAGTGGGCTGGGGCTCGAGGCCTGGCGCAGCCACGGGAGCACACAGATCGGAGGGCTGCTCGCTGCCTGGAGGCACCTTGGGGGAGGGGCGCTGCCTCGAGATTCCAGCGCCAGTGCAGAAATTCCCGAGGCCAGCGTCACCAAAGCTCAACTGAAAAGTTTTGTTATTGTTTCTTTCATCTTCTCCTTTTTACTTTATTGATTTGATGAATCTTGAAATCGACTCGTTTCAATAAAGCAAGTTAAAATATGGCCCTGCCATTTAAGAAAACAGCCATCTGAGACATGCAGGAAATTGTGAGCATTTGGGCCTGATTTCTCATTTCCTACTTGTGTCTAACAGGCAAGGGGTTCACTGTGGGGCCCTCCGAACCCCGGGGATCCTCACCAGTGCCCGGGGAGCTCTGCGAGGCCTGGCCCCGGGGCTTGCTGACTGGGTTGTGAATCGCGGCCAGCCCAGCACACGGCCCTGGGTGGTGGTGTCTCTCCAGATCCCAGCGCACCTTCCCCTGGCTGCTCCGGAGCTGTGTCTCGTCTGGGTCTTTGGGTGCCTCGGACACCAGGTGTTTCGGCAGATTCCAATCCCACACACCCATGCTGAGCAGACCCCCGAGTCCCAGCATGGGCAGGGTATGCCACAGGTGCTGGGGGGCCCAGGAAGCAGAGCCCGCAGGGTGCCTGTGCTGGGCTGGTGACCAGCACACACGGTCACACGGCCACGGCTGTCTCTTCACTTGCTGGATTGAATTCACAAATTCGCAGATGAAGTGTGTGTGCGTGTAATAGTCTCCCTGGAGAGAAGCTCGGTAGCCCTGTGTCCTGGAGAAGCCTGCAGGTGAGGCGACCTCAGCTGTCTTCAGCACTTCCGGAAAGGTAGCCTGTTCCCATTCAGGGCTCAGAGACCAGCTCAGCCTTCCCACCCGCCCACCCCAAGAAGGACGGGGGGCACATCACATGCCCACACAGGCCTGAGGGGTCCACAGAGTGGGGCTGCAGGTCCTCGTGGGTGTCGAGTGTGCCCAGGCTCCAGACTAGCCCAGGGGACACCTGGAGAGTTGCCCCAGGGGCCTCACTGGCCAGGCCACAGCCTCGGACCTGACCCCCGTTGGCGCTGGTGCGGGGAAGATCTTGACCAAGCACCCGGGTGGGCATTAAAGGCGCCCAGCCCCCACACACACTGGCTGCCCTGAAATGAGGGGCCCTGGACCCTTAGGAGTAGGGAGAGGAGGCTGACACGGGACTCCCTAGGGGAGGAGCTCGCTCTTATCTCCACATTGGGGTGCACAGAAAGTCTGTCTTAGGAGTCTGCAGCGAACACAGTTCTGTGACATCTCTGACAAAGTGACCAAGGAGCCAGCCACGGCCGAGTTGTTCCAGCTGGCTGTGTGCCCCGCTTTCCCAGTTCTGGAAGGAACTAGGACAGGTGGCTCTTCTACAGGATAAAGACCAAGCAAGCCCCTCACCTTGCTCTGAGCATCCTTGCTGTCCCCACGCCCCACCCCTGCTTCAGATTTGACTCCTGGGCCCCTGGATGCAACCAGTCATCCTCCAACCTCCCAGTGGAAAGGGGGCCTTGGCCTCGGCACAGGCCGGAAGACACGGCCCCCAGGTCAGGGACAGAGAGGCCCGTGGAGCTCCGGGAGGCAGGCTGGTGCCCCTGGGGTCGGCGTCTCCAGCAAGCTAATCCCGCCCCTTTGTGTCGGCCTGCAGGACCAGCCCTGACACACAGGGGGCGCCAACTCCGAGGGCCTCCAGCAGACCCGTCCCAAACCTCAACACCCATCTAGAGGCGACTGGTTGTGGGTGGGGGGCAGAGGGCTGGCCTTCAACCTCACGCTGCCCTCTGGCCTTCATGTGCACCCGCAGGGAGATGCCTCCTCCTTCCCTCTGGCTAGAGGAGACAGCCCGCCCTGCACCAGCAAGGAACAGCAGACAGTGCAGCACAGCTCTGCCCCGCTGCTCCATCCAGTCCACCGAGCCTCACAAGGGCCCGTGAGGTAGGGGGCTGCTTTCCCCGTCCTGCAAATGACAGGTGCTGAGGGAGGAGGCCGTGGGCCCCGCAGACCACCCCAGACCACTGCTCCAGCAAGCGGGTCAGCCCGGGCACCAGCTCGGGCACTGGGCAGGCATACCTGCCTCAAGGAGCATTTGTTCTGAGATCCAGGAGCGCACCGGCCTCGAGCTAATGGCCTCCCCTGACTGCCCTCTAGTGGCTGGGAGAAAAGCTGGGGGCCTAGACCTTGAGGCAGCCCGCCCCTGTCTCCGGCCTAGGCCCCGTCTCCTGGGGCACGTACTGCTTTGGGGCACCCTGTAAGGGTTGTCCCCACAACTCAGCTGCCCCAATGTGGGGTGGCAGCACCCACAGGAGATCACGGGCCCTCACAGCCGACATGGCCACACCCCCGAGTCCTGTCCAGAACATTCACATGTATCTGCAGATGGGCAGTCCCAGGCCTGCGAGCACCTGTGTGCCCAGCTCTGGGCGAGACCCTGTAGGTCCAGAGGTGACACCCCCACGGTGGGTCCCTGCTTCCCTGAGTGTTCCCCTTTCTGTCCACCTTGGGGCAGAGGCACTCCCCCCACCCCCACCAGCAGAGGAAGTCCTGAGGCCTACAGTGCCCCCTCCACGCCTGGGAGAGGGGAGCCACCTTCCTGAGGCCCCCGGGGGCGGCCTCTTGAGTCTCCGGCCCTCGTGGGTGATGGAGCTGGCGGCCAGGCGAGCCTAGATGAGTCTCTCCTCAGGCGGCACCTTGAGGACACTGTCCATCTCCAGCCGGGCCCCAGCCACCTCTTGCTGGCTCGGACTGTAGGTGCCCTCTGACTGGCGGCGCTTTCGGGCGGCTAGGATGCCTGAGAGGAGACCCAGGAGGAGCAGGAGGAGGCAGGCACAGGCCGCAGGCACGGCCACCTCCAGCAGCGGGAACGGCAGCGGCAGCGGCAGGCCCTTCTGCAAGACACCAGCGTGAGACGGTCCAGGCCCAGGCCTCGAGGGGCGAGAAGGGCACAAGGACGGGCTCCGGGGACCAGCGCTGGGAGCAGGCCTCCCTGGAGGGAGGGGTGGCCTGGCCCAGCAGGGTGCGAGCAGGCGGGGCGCTCAGCCGCCTGCAAGGGATTCCCGTCCACAAAGGACGTCTGGCAGGGGCAGAGGGAGCAGGCATGCGAGCAGCCCGCCTGTCACCCAGCGTGTGTGGGATTCCAGACTCCTACATTCTGATGACACCCTCAAGGATACCCTCACCTGCATGGCTCAGCCATCTGGCCTGTCCCCCAAATTCCCAGAGCACTGTGTTGAATATTAGGTGAGAAAACAGGCTTTCGAGAGGGTGCGAACCAAGCTGGTGCTCTCCTCCCCCCAAGCACCCTGGGCCCACACCACGTGGCCAGCCTCGAACTCCCAGTGCCAGAGGCCCTTCCTGCACGGCTGGCCAACGTGGCTCCGTGCCCAGCCCTGCCAGCCTGTCTGCCCCCCCACACTACCAAGCTGAAGTGAAGGGGGCTTGACCCCGCCCATCCCAAAGGAGCCTGGGTTTTTAGGGTGTCTGGGTGGAGACCCAGCTTAACCCCCATCTCAACTGGCACAGCGCCGGCCAGGGCTGCAGTGGGGCGGCCTCACTGGGCTGATGGTGCCATCAGAACCTGCCTGCCCCCACACAGCCCAGCAGGAGACTCGGCAGGCTTGGAGACCAGCCAAGGCCCACCCCATCGCAGGCCCCCCAAGATTCTACGGGCTGGGAATTCTGAAACCCCAGCGCCAGGGGACCAGGCGGCCCATCAGCCCACTGGGACCAGCACCCTGTCCTGCAGAAGGGTCCTGGGGAGACACGCTCTTCCCAGCCCCACCCCTGAGCACTTCTGGGGGAGCTATAAAGCCATTTCCTCCCTTGTCCTGGGAGGGGGACTGGTGGGGCTGTAAAAGTCCTACTTGAAAGGAAACATTCCCCAGAAGCAGGGGGGTCTGTGGGTTTATGACCCGGGCGACCAGAAGCCTGTGGAGATCAAGGCTGCCCCCCAGCTTCCTGCCCGCAGCCCTCCCCCAGCACCCACTGCAGACCCCTTGGCCGGCGGCCTGCTGGGCCTGCTCACCTCTCGGCGGGGAGGGGACCTACCACCTGCTGACCCTCATTACCCAGCCTCTCCTCAGTGGGCCTCCCTGGGGCCTGGGGTGACCTTCACAGGGAACCAGCCTGTGCTGGCTCAGAATCCTGGGTACCCCGATCTCCTAGCCTTAAGATCCCAACTCAGCACCTCCCCCCCCCCCCCCCCGCCAGAGTGTACCAGGCTCTTGTTTTCACCAGCGAAAGCCCACGGAGTCAAGACCCTGTGAGCCCAGGTGGGCTTGGCAGAACCCAAGTGACCCTCTCCAGCCCCCAGGGAGGTGGTGGCACACCCCACCCCGGCTCCTGGAGAGAATGTGCTTCCTGCAAGGGGGAGCAGCGTCTCCTCTCCCTGCTGCTCCCCCAGCTCCCAATGGCTCCACAGTCCCCCCCATCATCTGCTCGAGTAGCAGACAGGCACCCCCCTTCCAGCACTGCTCACCACCACTTCGCAGAACTGGCCCGAGAACCTGGCGCTGCAGATGCATTCAGACACCCCACGGGCCGCCCGGCAGGTGCCCCCGTTCAGGCAGGGGTTGGCCTCACAAGGGACTGGGCACCTGGGGAGGCAGAAAGGGGGGGCTGAGAAAGCTGTTCCCCACATGCCAGCAGCAAAGCCGCCATCCACTGCTGTCCTGCCCAGTGACGGGCTCTAGAGCTGAGCTCCCGGGCCAACCTGCCCAGCACTGGACAGTGCTCCACCCCGCCCCTGCACCTGGCGCCTGCAGAGAGGCAGCTCCGGGGTGCAGGTCTGTCTGGGGTGAGCTCAGACTTGCACTCCACAGCCTCCCGATGCAGGGGGGCTGAGGACAGAGGGGTGCTAAGAGACACCCTCCCTCCCCGAGGTGAGCACGTTACAGAGGAAGCCCGGGAGGAACAGCCTGGTGGAGGTGGCACGGGGCGCTGGGGAGACAGCGAGCACTGAGAAGGTGAATGGGGCTCCACACCCCACCTCGCCTGCAGCTGCTCCCCCAAGTCCTGGGACCCACCTCTGACCAGCAGAGCCCTCCGGGCAGGTGCAGTTGGCAGCCGGAGACCCGCCCTCGCAGGGGCTGCCACCGAGGCAGGTGAGGTTCCGGCTGCACTCCTCCGGTAGGACGGGCGACCTGAGGGCGGGGCACAGAGGCACAGAGGGAGTGACCCCGCGGCTCACTCAGCCAGATGCACCTGCTGCCCGCACCTCTGCCCTGTCCTGGAATTCAGGGCCCAGGGCCCGGGCCCAGTCAAGGGCGTGGAAGGGAGGGGCCGAGGCTGCTCCAGCCCCACCCACAGCTCTGGGCGATGCTCTGTGCACCCCGGTGGGCGGGCTGCAGGGAGCCTGGAGGTTTTCCTGCAGACTGGCTTCTACTCCCCACCTCCCATGCCCAGAGGCTCCTTAGAAGGTCGAGTTTATCCGAGGGGCCTGGAGTTTCTGGCCACCGCAGAGGACTGTGGCTCCCATCGCACAGCTGAGGGCTGCAAGGCTCGGAAGAGTTGTGCTGCCCTGGGACCAGTCCCGTGGCTGCTGCCTGCCCCCAGACTTCTTGGCCACACCCTGGCCTCTAGGTCCCGCGGGTGGGCGGCTGCACCCCCTCCCCTGCCTCCTGAGGTGGCCCCTGCGTCCTCACCTGCAGCGTGCGCCTGCGAAGCCTGGTGGGCAGCGACATTCAAATCGACCGTCCGGGAGCCCGTGGCAGCGGCCACGGGCGCAGGGTGCGGAGCGACAGGGGTCAGCGCGGGCCTCGCAGCGCGGCCCCTCCCAGCCCGGGCCGCAGGCGCAGGCGAAGGCGTCGAAAAGGTCACGGCAGGCGCCGCCATGCAGGCAGGGCGAGGGTGCGCACACGGGCGAGCCGCGGCAGCCCAGGCGCGTGGCTGCTGGCCCCGGCCAGGCCGAGAAGTGCTCTGCATTGCCCGCGGGTGCACCGGGCCGCGGGCGCGCCAGGGGCAGCGGGAGGCCGCCGAGCGCTACGCGGCCCAGGCAGCCGGTGAAGTTCTCTGCCAGCAGCACGCGCGCAGCGCCGGGGCCGCGCAGGAAGTCCAGGTCGCCCGCCTGTCCGCGCAGCGCCACCGGCGTGGCCGCACTGTCCAGCCACAGCAGCCAGCGCGACCCCCCAGCTGCCGGGCGTTCCATGGCCAGGCGTACGCGGTGCCAAGCGCCATCTGCCACGCGCGGCCCTGGCGCTGGCAATACTGCGCCAGGCAGGCCGTGGCCACTGCGCACGCCCGCCGCCAGGGAACCGTGACGCACGGCCAGCCAGACCGCCGCGTGGGGACCGGCGGTGGCACGCAGCAGCCCCGCCTCGGTGTCGCGCGTGCGGAAGGCGATGGAGAGGCCGCTCATGGAGCGCCCGGATGACATGTTGTGACCGCTGAATTCTGCTGGGGGGCCCTCGTGGAACGTGGCCTCGGCCACACCTGCGGGAGACGGGGCATGGGGCGTGGCCTACTCTCACTGGCTCCACCACCACCCCATTTTCCCAGCCCATCCCTAGTGGGGGGGGGGACACACACATCCCGATGGTCCAACCCCAGAAACCAGCCGGCCCATCGCTACTACTGGCTGAAGAGACCTCCGCGCCAAGTTAACCCAGCTTGGGTACCCACCGTGGGGCTGCCCAGGGCAGACACTCACAGACAAAGCCATCAGGAACCTCCTCGCAGGTGGCAGGTGGGAGGCAGGGCTGACCAGGACACCACAGCTGCTGGGCACACGTGGGCCCCGTGAAGTTGGCAGGGCAGGTGCAGTGGAAGTCATTCCAGGTGACAAGGCAAGTCCCGCCATTGAGACAGGGGTCAGGCTGCCGGAGAATCGGGCAGGGACGGGCTCAGCCCCGGGGCTGCAGCAGCGCCACACCCTCACTGCAGTGGGTGGTCCCCAGGCGCCTCCCGCAGCCTGCTCCCTCCGCCCAAGCCAAGCCAAGAAAGTAAAGAACGTCCCCATTTTACAGGTGCAGAAACCAAGGCTCAGAGATGATGCCGCTTGCCTGCATCACCCAGCCAGGTAACAGGAGTCAGAGCTCACACCCAGGGCTGGTGCTTAGTGCACGAACCCACAGGTGTCCCTGTCCCCAGGCCGCTCCTGCAGAAGGGCGTGGGCAGCCGGCCCTGGGCCTGGGCCCAGCGTCTCTCAGAGCAGGACTGAGGCAGGGGCTGGAGTACCCGGCCAGAGCGCACAGGGCCGGAGAGGAGACGGTGTAAATCCTGTGGGCGGCTCTGGTGGTGGCATGCTGGACAGACACTTGCTCTGCTGCCCCTTTCGCCATAGGACACTCCAACCCCCAGAGACACAGGGCAGACGTGAGGAAGGACCCACTCATCCTTCTGGGCACTCACGCTGCACATGTCCTCGGAGACGCAGCCCGCGGTGAGGTTCCAGGACTGCCAGCTGTCCAGCCCGCTGGGCTGGCTTGAGTTCCCCAGCGGCGGTGGAAAGAAGGGGAGGTGGAGGCCACTGAACCGCAGGTCCTGGAGGCAGCCACGGAAAGGGCCCCCCCAGGGCTGGGCATCGGCGGGGGGCAGCCTCCCCCCGACGTGCACCTGCCGCCCCAAGCCCTGCAGCTGATCAGGCAGGAAGCTGAGTGTCACCAGGTGGCGGAGTCCGTCATCCCAGCGCCCAGGGAGCACCAGAGGGGGGCTGCCCTGCGCCTCGGCCCGGACCTGGCCCTCACTCAGGAACACCGTCAGAAGAGCGGCAGACTCGTTGGTCAGTTGAAGCAGCAGACCGGCAGCTTCCCGGGTGCGGAGGAAGAAGGACAGGGTGAGATTGGGGCCTGGCAGGTGGTGCAGCTGGAAGGAGGCAGCGCTGGGGGCGCCCCCCCAGCCAAAGGTGGCCGCGGGAAGCTCTGTAGGGAGAAGGGGCAGCCATGAGCCACGCGGCTGCGGGCAGGCGCAGACTCAGGTGATCCCTTCCCACTGCTCACCATCCGCGCAGGTGGGACCGAGATAGGGCCGGGGGCAGTCACACTGGAAGTGAGTCCACAGGTCCTTGCAGGCCCCGCCGTGGGCACAAGGCAGAGACTGGCACTGCTCCCGGCGCTCACAGCCCAGGAGCACGTTGCCGCCAAAGTCCCCAGGCAGCAGCAGGTGGCCGTCCACACGCACGTCCTGGAGGCAGCCTGCAAAGGCCGCGTCGCCCAGCCGAGCAGAGCAGGGCCCGGCTGGCTTTGGGGCCACGGAAGCCGTAGGAGCGGGGGCCACAGGGCTGGAGGTGACACAGACGTGGGCTGGGCAGCCCTCATGCCACAGCCGCAGCTCCAGGACTCCGGGGCGGTGGGCCACCTCCACTCGGTGCCAGTGGCCGTCATTTAGGGCTGGGCCCGGCAGCCGCAGGACGACCACGGTGCTGCTGTGGCTCTGGAGTGTGGCCTGGAGCGTGGCTCCTGCCAGAGCCAGCTCCAAGCTGTTCAAAGGGTCCGTGCGAGTGGCCAGGGCGCCCTCAGGAAGGGTGGTGCGAAATCGTAACGCCACGCCCAGGGGGCCACCAGACGGCACCTGTGTCTGCACGGCTCTCCCAGCCTCCACGGAGAAGGTGGTATTCTGGTCGCACAGGAGTCCATGGGTACCAGCCGGGCAGCGGCAGGTGTGACCGTGGACCCCAGACTCAAAGGTGGGGACGCAGGTGGCGGCCAGCGGGCACGTGTGGTCCTGACAACCGGTGAGCCGCACGGAACAGTGGTGCCCGCCCCAGGCCTCTGGGCACCGGCAGCTGTAGCCTGCCACAGCGTCGTCGCAGGCCCCGCCGTGGAGGCAGGGCTCCGACAGGCATTCGTCCACGTCTTCCTGACACGTCAGGCCTTCGGGAGAGACCAGGCCGGGTTCAGCTTCCGAGGCCAGTGCAGTCTGGACCCAGAGCTCTCAGGCCTCTCGGGATGGGGAGCCAGCAACCACGCCAACTCCCAGGCCACTTCTGAGGCCCCGAAGTCCCTGGGGCTGGGATGCAGGATACCCCTCCCTCTGCCATGGCTGGGAAGTCCCTTTGCCCTGTGAATTCAACCCTCTAAACGCTCGACCCCCCTGTCTCCTACCTGCCTCTCCTGCCACGGCAGCACACCAGGCCCGGCAGCCCTCTGGGATGCAGCCTGCATCCTTCAAAAGCCCGTCTGCCATCCGTCCCGCCAGCAGCACCCAGAAATCAGCTCCTAAAGCTTCACCTGGCCCAGTTTCTCTGCTGCCTCAGTGCCAGGCCCTGCCACGCTGCCAGTCTCCACCCAGCTGCCTGCAGACCCCAACCTGCCCGTCTGCCCGTCCAAGCATTTCCCGGACGCCCTGTCTCGGGGCCCTTCCTACTGCTCCTTCAGCCTAGAGCGTGGGTCCGCCCCTTCCCTTTCAAGCACCTGCTCATCCTGCAAAGCCCGAATGCAAAGAGCCAGTCCCCTAGGAGACTCTCGGACTCCAAAACGGTGTCAACCCCAATTCCCAGGCACCCCAGAATCGTGTCTGAACAGCTGAGATCTCCTCCAGAGACCCAAATGTGTCCTTGGTGCTCAGCAGAGGGCTTCTACAGACAGTGATGAGAGGGGGTGCAAGGGGGATGGATCTGCTGCACTCCCAGAGACCCCCGGGCTCTAGCTCCTCCCCGCCCCTCTGCCCTAGGACCCCCCACCTCATCCTTCCTGCAGGAGTTCCCTCACCCAGTGCTGTGGTCCCAGAGGGGGCCCGGGGGCCACAGCCCAGACCCAGCTCTGCAGGGGCCCCCACAACACAAGCAGGGCCTCCAGGATCTGCATCCTGGCCACTGCCTATGCACACAGCACGGGCTCCCTCTGGGACAGCAGCACCCCCCACCCCGCATGAGGTGCCAGCCTCCATACCTGCCAGGAGCCCCAGGCCCCCCAGGAAGGTCCACAGAGCCCGCAGTCCCATTGCATTTCCCACAGACAACAAGAGCAGTGGGCGGGCCCCAAAGCTGGGGTGACCTCCTTCAGAACCAGCGCAGGAATGCCAAGCACTGGCCTCCCCCACATCCAACACAGCCCAAAGGGAGGACGAGAGCAGGCAGCCTCTCAGCTCCACTGCCGGGGCCCTCCCATTCCTGACCTCAGAGAGCTGACCTCCAGGTCACCCACCAGCTGAGCTCAGCCTGGGAGGAGCAGGAGGTCGACACCCGTCTCTGAAACTGTCGCCTCATCTGCAAGAGGGGAGCTTAACACCCTACCTGGCGGGGCATGGAGGACGCCAGGTGCGCAGAGCTTGCTCTGCAGGCAGAGCGTGGGTGGCCACGGGCGCAGACCCCCAGAGTTCACAGCACCCAGGCAGGACTGGGGGTGGATCTCAGCCCACAGGGGTGGAAGATGGATTTTCAGGGCTCTTGGAGGTGGGGACCCTGGGTCCTAGCATTTTGGGGTATGGGTGAGGGTAGGGAGAGTGCTACCTCCATCCCCTGCACAGAGGTGCCAGTGCTCAGGAAGCGGCTGGGGGGGCTGCTGGGGGGGCAGCTTCCAGTGGAATGCAGGCGGCTGTGGGGGTGCCGCAGGCATTTCAGGGGAGGAAGGGCCACTCTGAGAGCTGAGTGTGGGTGGCGCTCCTGGGGCTCGCTAGCATCTGCCTGGACGGTGCCCGAGGTTCTGGACAGCACCTGCTGCACCCAAGGCAGGGACAGGCTTTCTCACTGCACCTCCTGCCTCACAGGCGGAGCTCCCCAAAGGTCAAGTGTGTCCTGCAAACACTGTCTGCCAGCTGCGGTAATATGCCCTACCCCGCTGGTCCCTGCCACCCCCAGACTGCCGCCCCGCCCCTTGATGTCAGATGTCTGGGGTTCTCCCTGCCCCTCACTCTACACTGTCCCAGGCAACCTCAGCCACCCTGGACCCAGCTGCCAGGGCTACACTCCAGACCCCAGTCTCTGGCTTCAGCCCGGCCCCTCCTCTGGACCCCTGGCCCAGGGCCACCAGCACTGACCCTGGCCCCTCCTTAGGGTGCTCCCCAGACACTCATGGACACCCATCATCACCCAGGATGGAAACTCAGCCAGCATCCCACGAGCCTCCCATCATACCCGGAGTAACCCCAGGACCTGGAGCGTGCACCCCAACTCAGCCCAGCTAGTTACCTCCAGTCCCAGCTCCAAAGCCCCATCCCAGCTCAGTCCCTCTTAGCTGTCACCCCGGCGACTGAACCCACCTTCTCCTGACCACCCAGTCTCCCATCAACCCAGCCTCCACACAGGGCATCAGCCAGAGGCACCGCTGGACCCCAGCCTCCCAACCCTCGCCGGGCCCTGTTCCCAGGCACCTGCATATCCATCTGGACACTGGCACCAGAAGCCGTTGGGCAGGTCCTGGCAGTGGCCTCCGTTGAGACATGGCCGCGAGGCACACTCGTCCACATCCACCTCACAGTCCTCCCCTGCAAGAGGCCCGGCCGTTGGCATCACTGCGTGCAGCCGCCTGGGGCTGGCAGGACCCAGCTTCTAGCCAGGGAGACTGAAGCCCAGAGAGGGGCACTAAGGGGTGGGGCCCCATGGTTCCGCCCGGGCACTCCTCCCCGAAATTAGGCCGCCCAAGCATCTGCTTCCCAGGGAGAGGGACGGCGGCTCACCCTCGAAGCCTGGAGGGCAGTGGCACAGGTAGCCTGCCGCGTGCCGGAAACTGAAGGGGCCCAGGAAGGCGGCCTGGTCGCCCCCATAGAGAGCGGGGTCTGAGCGCTGCAGGCACTGGCCCCCGTGCTGGCAAGGGCCCGTGGCACACTCGTTCTCGTCCACCTCGCACCGCGCGCCACTGTAGCCTGGGGGCGACACACAGAGCATCAGGTCACACAGAGTCCCCGGGCGGCACCCTTCGCCTGTGCCCGGGCCGTCAGCATAGAACATGGCGCCTCCAGAGGGGAGGCCGGGCCACCTTGAGGGGGTCGGGATGACCCCGAGGCAGCCTCCATCTGCCTCAAAGAACGTATGGCTGCGCCCTTGGCACGCGCCAGGCCCTGCCCCAAAGCTTAAGGGGCGGACGCCCCGACGCCTGGACTCTTCTCACAATCAGCCCACAGCCGGGGAGCAGCCGCGAAGCCCCGGAACTGCCAGCAGGAACCCAAGCTCAAAGTTGCCCTCGGGCGCACACGCCGGCGGCGGCCTCGAGCGCGCGCATGCGCCACACGCGACGCCAGTGCACGCACCTGGCCAGCAGAGGCAGCGGAAGCTCCCGAGGCCCTCGAGGCAGGTCGCGTTGTGTGCGCAGGGCGCCGACGCGCACTCCAGCACCTCCAGCTCGCAGCGCGCGCCCTCGTAGCCCGTGTCGGCACAGTCGCACCGGAAGCTGCGGCGGGACGCGCAACCCGAGCTGAGCGCGCAACGGGCCGGGCCCACCGCCTGCGCCCCGCTCCGGCCCCCAGCGCCCTTTCTCCCGACCCCCGCGGCCTCCTCACCCGTTCACCAGGTCGTGGCACGCACCCCCGTGCGCGCAGGGCTGGCTCTGGCACTCGTCCAGGTCGAGCTGACAGCTGGCGCCCCCATAGCCCGGGGCGCACACGCAGCGGTAGGAGCCCACGCCGTCCAGGCACGACCCCCCGTGCAAGCAAGGCGCTGAGGCGCACTCGTCTACCTCCTCCTCGCACGTCGTGCCTGCGCAGGCCAGAGAAACCCACACGGAGGGGAACAGCCTGAGGAGGGCGAATGAGGCCGAGGCAGGCCCACCCGACCAGACGCCAGCTCCGGGCAGTGACAGGAGTGCCAGGTGAGGCTCTAAGAGGGATTCTGGTGGGTTCACCCACAGGGTTTCCTGCGTGGGCAGTGGCAGGGGAGCAGGAGGAAAGACATCCTTGACCCCAGCGCACAGGCGCCTCACCCCTGAGACAGGGCTGAAGTCAGCACCACATAAATGAGGGCTGATGTGGCTTCTGATCAGCTCAACAGCTGGGAAGCACTGGACCCTGTGAGAGCCAGAGCCAGGATCTTGGCCTGGGAATGGGAGTCAGGGGAGGCTTCTTGGAAGAAGAGTCTTTTGAGGATGAGGACGTGCCTAGACTGGGTTGGAGCCATGCCAGCAGGTAGAAGCCTGAAGGCAGCTTAGACTGATGAACACCGTGGGCAGGGGTGTGGTGCCATAGGCAGGGCGCATGGAGGCTCAGAAGCAATGACAGGCAGAGCTGGAGAATGGGGGGCAGGCCGGGGTAACGGTGACACATCCCGAAAAGCTCAGTGACGTGGTGCTCGGTATATCTGAGCAGAGTAGGGGGGACCCTCAGGGAGGAGGAACATACTCTGGGGAGGTGCTGGAACAGGGTAACCAACTTGCCCTGGTTATTCCTGCACTGTCTTGATTTTAAACTGAAGGTCCTGAATCCCCAGAACCCCAAAGTCCTGGGCAGAGTCCAGCCGGCTTAGCAGTCCTCGGGCTCGAGCTCAGCCATTGGACCTATGCTCGCTGAGGGCCCCAGGGCCCTGCCCACAGAGGGTTTGGTCACGGGGGGCCAGCAGGCTCCAGTGGAACTTTCCCCTCTCCTGGCTCAGTAATCACAAAACATGGCTCCTCCTTCCTGTGACCCCTCACTTCTCCCCCCTCCCCCACTCCCACTCTCTGTGCCAGGGGGAGCCAGGTCCTGGCGGCCTGGAATCCCAGCCTCCCCCGCCTGGCCTGGAAGAGAAGGAGGAGGAGAAATGAGTCAGAGCAGACGCTGCCCCCTCACATCCACAACTCGCCCACAACGTGTGGCTGACCCGGCCTGAGCACCACGCAGCCACGCACACCTCTGCCCCTCTCGCGTGGCACTAGCATAACACATTTCAGGGCTCAGACACCTGCAGTCCCAGTCACCGGGCCCTTTACCCCCCCACACACACTGCACCTCACAACTGCACCTCACAACGACATCCACTCGTGCAGACTCGGATGAGGAAGGTGCCTGCCCCCAGTTTCCAGAGTCTCTAAATCCGTTTGCCCCCACCCAGCTCCTCACTGAGTGCGTCAGTGCCCTGCTCTGAGACGCCCTCGGTGCCCTCAGAGAGTTGCCCGCATGCAGGGCTGAAACAGAAGCTGGTCTGTCCACACTGCAGGCTCCGACTGCCCCAGCCCCAGCGACAGCCTGACGCCCAGGCCTGTGCCTGTGCAGCCTCCTGCCCCACCACCAGGCAGCCGCTCGGGGGGGCTGTGGCTGTCCAGGGAGTACAGGAGAGACAGCCGGCCGGGGAACGGTACAGTCTAAAGGACACTGCGCGTATCTCGATCTCAGTGCTGGAGCTCTGCGGCCCCCCAGAGGGGAGAACCCTGTCACCTGCACCCCGGGAGCCACCTGGGTGTGCATCCTCTAAAAACCATCCGCCAGACCCGCTGCAGGTCTGGAGTGGAGGCTGGAAATACTGCCCAGACACGTCTGCGTTAGAGCAAACTGAATCTGCTCTCCAGTCCTGCCGGAGGGGCCTCGGGCATCTCCACCCGGGGGTCAGACAGTTCTCCAAGGGAATGAATCAACTTTGCTGGTGCCGGTCTCGGGCCCAGCTCTGTGGCCGTGCTGGCATGGACACGCACCCAGAGCTGCCCTGTGAGTCTGGGCAGCTGTGAGTCTGTACCCAGCCCCCGGACGGCTCTGCCGAGAGCGGCCGATGCGGCAGAAGGGCTCCTCCGTGCCGGAGCCAAAGCTGAGTGGGGACCGACAGGCCTCCTCGGGCGGCCGGGGCCATTACCTGCGTAGCCCAGGGGGCAGTGGCACTCGAAGCGATCGGCCAGGTTGAGGCAGGTGGCCCCGTGGCGGCAGGGCCGGGACGCACACTCATCGATGTCCAGCTCACAGCGTGGGCCCTGGAAGCCAGGCACACAGTAGCAGCGGAAGCCGGCGGGGTGCAGACCCTGGGGCACACACAGAGCGCCGTGGTGGCAGGGCCGGGCGGCACAGCCCTGGGGCTCCGCGGGCCTGCAGAGGTGGCCGCCACTCTCCGTGGCCTGACACTGGGTCCCCGGAGCACAGGGGGCCGAGGCACAGGCGCTCGGGGGCTTCGGGGGCTCCGTGGGCACCGTTCCTGTAGAGAGAGGAGACTGGCTGGGCAGGGGCTGCCCAGACCCCCCCTCCCACACTTGCCACCCCCACTCCCACTCTCTGTGCCACGGGGGAGCCAGGGGTCCTTCCTGTGACCCCTCACTTGCCCCCTCTCCCCTGGAGAGTGGATCCTGTGAGAGCAAGAGCCAGGATCTTGGCCTGGGAATTGGGAGGCTTCTCGGAAGAGTCTTGAGCGTGAGGGCGTGCCTAGACTGGGTTGGGGTCATGCCAGCAGGTGGGAGCCTGAAGGCAGCTTAGACTGATGAATACTGTGGGCAGGGGTGTGGTGTTTTAGATTAGAAACTGAAGAGTTTCAATCAGATGATAATAATTAATAGATAATTATTAATGGATAATAGATAATAATCAATTAATAGATAATAAGTAATAATCACACCTGGAACTGGGAATTATTTCACGGGGCATCCCCGTGGTGGGAAACAGGCCCAGGGGTGCCCGGCCCCTGGTGGCACTCACTGGCCAGCACCCCTAGAGGGTCCCCATGGCCCTCACGTCCCCTCAGTCCCTGGGGCCAGGCACTACCACGCCCACTTTGCAGGAGAGTAAATCAAGGCTCTAGAGAAAAAGTGAGCATCTGCACCTGGGGTCCCGCACAAGGAGTACCAGGGCAGTCCTCAGCCCCTTGGGGAAGGGGTCCCCTCCAGGCTTCCCTGCTCCCTCCCAGGAGGCCCAGGAGAGGGCTCCTCCCCCTGCCTCCTCCAGCCTCCAGCTCCTGCTGGGGGTCTGGAAACTCCATCCTGCCTGAAACTGGAGATGGAGGACTTCAAAGGCAGCAGCAGCCTGGGCTGGCCCCTCTCCCCCCACCCCACCCCCTCTTCCGCCCCGCCTGCAGGTCTGGGAGCTTCTCTGGGGATCCCTCACTGTCCCCTCCCAGCTCCCAGGCAGCCGGGGTCAGGCAGTGGGCAGGTACCTAGCGGCTCCTGCAGCCCCTGCCTGCTCAGCTCCCTCCGTGGGTCTGCTGGCCCCAGGAGAGCCTGCCTCCTCCCGCCCCGAGCCTGGTCCCTGTGACTGGCATAAGAACTGGCCCTGGAAGGAGCCCAGCCCCCGGTTCAGATCCTCACTAGCCCTGAGACCTCGGGCAAGTCATTCATTTCTCCTACTGAGCCTCCATTTCCAATCCCAACAGGCAGTGACAGCAGTACAGGCCTCGTCGGGTGTGGAAGGATTCAGAGCCCCAGGTGTGAGCGGGCCACCCCTACCGGAACCCAGTAAGTGATGGGGGAGGGGCAGCAGCCCCCACCTGGACCCCCGTGGCGCCCCTCCCCCACCTAGGTTGTCATCCAGACACTAAGCAGGCGGAGCAGCTTCAGGCCCTGCATCTCTCCTCCCCCACCCCGGTGGAGACCCCCAGATAAGGCTCTGCAGCCTCTCAGGCGTCACATTCACATTCCAGCAGGCTGGGTTGCCCACTGCTGCCACCCCCACCCTCCCCAGCCAGGACCTACTCGGACATACCGGCCCACGGCGGGCAGCCCCATCTCCGAGGTCCCTTGGCCCCTGGGCCAGTTCAACGTGGGCGCCCCCTCCTGAGATTTCCGGGGTGGGAGGAACAGACGCAGGTGGGTGGCCAGGGTGGGCAGAGCATGTGAATCGCCATCTGGCCAAGATGATTCTGGGGGGCCTTGGAGCCCACAGACCTCTCCATCCACAGTTGTCTTTCCCAGCTTGGGGCATCCAGCCCCACCCCTGCTCCGGGGCCTGGCCCTGTAGGCGAGGTCAGGGGCCTCCAGTCCTCTCTGAGGGCTTTAAGGGCAGCCGGCCCATCTTTCTGACTCGGGCCACTGGAGCTGACCGGCTCAGAGCCAGTCCTCAGGGCTAGGCGGTCTGGGGTGTGCAGGTGGACAGTGGCAACGTGGGATCTGGCATCCGGCTTATCCCTGGAGTGGGAACAGTGCCTGCCTCTGGTGTTGAGTGACCCTTGCTGTGGTCAGGTGATGCAGGGAGCTGCCAGCGCCGCCTGTGTGTGTGTAACCCCAGTTCAAGTGTCCATGTACTGCAGGGACTCGCAAGGACGTTAGTGGCCCGTTTACAGTTTGAGGAAAGTGAGACTCAGACATGCAGGGCTTCGCAGGCTCGCGGCCAGGGTGGCTGGAATCCAAACCCAGGTCTCTCGGCTCCGGAACTGCACCCCGCCCCCACCCGGTATCCGCATTCCCCAGGGACCTGCGCTAAGAATGCAGACCCCGGGCCCCGGCCAGGCCCAGAGATTCAGCACCGTCGGGCCTGGGGTCTGAGAATCCGCTGCAACACGCTCCCTGGGGATCCCCGAGGCTTGGGGACCCCGGGCCTCGGGCGCTCCGTCTCCCGGGAGCGAGCTGGGGCGGAGAGGTGAGGCGGAGGGGCCGCCCGGTCAGGCTCGGGGCGTGGCCTGTTGCCGGGACAACGAGGGGCCGGTGCTTATCTTTACAAATCCCCCCTGACCTCCCAGGCAGCCGGGACGACCTGGCGGGAGGATTAGCCGACACCAGCCCGTCCCCTTCAACCTGCTGCTGGCCCAGGAGGGCCCAGAAAGTGCTGCGGGACGAGAATTCCTCGCGGGGGATCATTTCTGTCCCCCCCCAGCACAGCCTGCTGGGCTCCTACTGAGTGCACCGAGCAGCCCCGTGCGCACCTGCCTCTTACCCCGCGATTACCTTGATGCCAAGCAGAGTTTAAAAGAAAACTTAAGCTGTTCTAATTCAGGGATGTTGATAGACTTGCCTGGGATCAGCCATGAAAAAGTGGGAAGTAGACTGTCCCAGATTTCTCTCTCTCTCTCTCTCTCTCTCTCTTTAATGTGTGCAAGGGCTAGGGTGTTAACCAGAGGTGCAGGGCGAGTAGGGGGGTGAGAGGATTCAGAGACAGAGTGGGGAGCAGAACAGGCAGATGGACTGAAACACTGCTGAGGGGAGCAGTGGAGAGTCAGGAGAGGTCTGCTGAACGGTGAGGGTCAGCTCCCTGATGGAACTCAGGCTGCAGTGGCTGCCAACAGCTCCATAGCGCTGAGGGTCAACCCCTTGCGCCCCCCCCCAGGCCCTCCCCCAGGTTTCTGGTCACAGGTGTGGCCTGCAGTCCCCCCTCTGCAAACTATAAGGTGCCGCTTGCCTTGTCCTGTGAGTGGAGTCTGGGAGGCCTGTCCAAGGATGAGGACCCAGGTACCCCAAGGACGGGGGACTCAGGCTGGGGCAGTCTTCCTGTCAGTCCACCCTGCCTCCTGGGTCCCCAGAGCCCCCCACTTCCCACACACTCACATGGGGCCTGGAGGGATAGAAAATATTTCTCCGAAGCAACTTGAAATTCAGAAGCTACAGGAGTTTCTGGCGTCTGGGGTGGGGGGGGCAGGAAAAGTGCTCACTGGGAGCACAGTCCCCCCAAGGAAATGACTGAACCCCAGCAAGGACCACCCGGCAGCAGGCGAGCACTGAGTGGTGGCCGAGCCAGAGAAGCTGGACTGCTCTGTAAGGAGAGGGTC